CTCATTTTACAGATGAGGAAACTGAGGCCCAGGGAAGTCCCACAAGTCAGAAGCAAGATTTGAACAACAGTCCTTTCTTTGACTCCAGAGTCTGTACTTTTCCCTTTGTACCATATGGATAACTTCTGGTCTACTTCCCTCCACTCCCCACACTGCCCTCTGGCATTCCCAAAGGATGGGCTGGTCTGAAGTCAGTGCAAAACGGGCTTAAATATCTCAACTAAATATAGAAAAAGCCCCTGACCCCTCCTTTGTACTACCCAGCCCGGGCAGAAAGAAAACAAGAATGCAGCTCTAAGACCACAGTGGATTGGGAAAGTGGGCAGGGAGCACATCCATGGAGCAGGAAATCTGGCAGAGGGGACCCTAGCAGCTGCAGGGAGGACATGAGTGGCTTTGAGCTTGGCAGGCAGCTCATTTTACTGGGCAAAGTAGAAGCAAACACAACAATCCACTTCCCTCAGGACTTGATGCTGCCCAATTCACCTGTTCCCAACAGAATATTTTCAGCTTACTAGCTTTCATAGAATCCCTGCCATATTTGTTATGGCAGAGAAAGAGATGGCGGGCTTATTCAGAAGGGAGGTTTGGAATAACATGTTTTATTTATTTTTCTATCAGTTTGCTTTTTACATCCAGGGTATTTGGACCAATGTTTTGGAGGATATTAGTTTGTTAACATATAGTAAGCACCTCTGGCATGCAAGGTGCTGAATGTGGATCACTTTTCTTTTGTTGGTTATTTGGATAAAGCTTTGTATGTTTAAACATTGTCATGCTGAACAGATGATGCTGTTCTGGAGGATAGAAATGGTGCCTGTTGTTTCTTTTGTCTCCCAAGGGCCTAGTTCAGTACCTCATACATAAAAGATCTTCAATAAACATGGCTAGCCTTTTAGTTGTAAGCTCCCAGAGCTTTTAGAGAACTTGATCTTTCTTGTTCTAAAGACTGGGAATGGATTTAAGCAATCACTATGACCTGTGCTCAGTGATAACTCTCAGGTTTCTTTTGCTGACCAAGTAAGCAGGATCAGGTTTCCCATAGAAGTAGCAACTTCTCTGGGAAAGGAGGCAAAATACTGCATCACTTTCAAGCACAATTCCTACAATCCAAAGTTCCTGATAGATTTTAGGACCAGGGAGGAGGTCTACGAGTTAGAGGAAAGAGCACTCACTGGTTTTGGAGTCAGAAGATCTGGGTTCAGATGCAGGCTCTGCTATTTATTACTTGTATGACCTTAGACAAGTCACTTAACCTCTCTGTGCCTCATCTAACTAGAATCCATGGTCTTTTCCATTTTTCATGCCATAGCCCCTTTGGCAGTTTGCTAAAGCCTATGGACCCCTTCTCAGAATAATGTTTTTAAATTCATAAAGGAAGATACAAAGGATTACAAAAGAAATCTTTGATGTTGAAATAGTTTTCAAAATATTAAAATCATAAATAAGTTCATGGAGCCCAGGTTAAGAACTCGGACTACATCATCTCCAAGGTCCCTTTCAGACCTTAGACCAAAGATCACATCTCCCATCACAAAACACTCTTGAATTGAAGAAAATCCTGAAAAGAGACATGAGAATTTATAGTAACAAAGAAAGATTGGAAGGTATGGAACTTGGTAGGTGGGAGGAAGTGACAGGATAGATTGGAGAGCAAGTTAAGAGTGAATAATGATATGTAATGTAGCAGAAAGAACACTAGACTTGGAGTTAGTTCCTATCTCTGCCACTGATTTTCTGAGGGACTGTGGATAAGTTAGTGAAAATTTGTTAACTGAGCAGATCAACAGATTGTCTTCATTTAAAAAAAAATCTAAAATCTACCCTGGAATCTGTTTGGCTCAGTCAGAATCTAGTCTTTATTTCTATCTGGAGTGAGTTCCCTGGTGTTTTTGTTTTATTTTGCTTCTGTTTTTACATTTTACTGTAGTTGGTTTTAGTCCAAATTGAAAGGGAATTCAGAGTCCACCTAGACTAGCCCATATCTGAAAAAGACTTTCCTTGACAACATCATCACTTTGACTCCAAAACCTCTAGCGAGGGAGAACACACCACCTCCTTCACAGATAGCTCTGAATATTGGGATGTTTGTTCTTAGCTCAGGCTAAATTTGCCTCTCTGTAAGTTCTTTCTGTTCCTAGGTCTGACCCCTGGGGCCACGCAGAGCCAGCCTCATCCCTTTTCCCTGTAATAGCCCATCACATCCTTGAAGCCAGTTATGATGCCTTTCCAGGCTAAACATCTCCAGTTCTTTTGAGTGATCCTCATATTGCATGATGCTAGACCACTTCATTCTATTGATCACCTTTCTTATGATGCTTTCCAATTTATCTGTGCCCTTCCTAATGTTGAAGGCATATCTGAAGGGATCGTGGTTAAGGTTAACTCAATGATAAGCAGGTTAACAAGGCTACAGGAAGAAGCCTCTGTTTGTTGACATTATCTCCTTATATAAGAGATAAACACTCACATTTGAGACCTTCTGGTATGGATGATGTTTTCTTGATGGGGTTTGAATTCTCCTTGCCCTGGGTACTTACCAGACCATTGGCACCATTTTAAGGAATAGATTTGTGTCTAATTTGAGGACATTTAGGCTATACTCTTAGACTAGACCTCTAAAAAGGAGATTGAAAACATATCAGAAAGACGGAGAGCAGAAAATCTATATACAGTGACACAAACTAAGGTCCCTGAACCAGAAGCCTTCCCATATTTAAGACTCCTCTGGGGAACCATGGGACCCCTGAGGTGACAAACAGCTGAGTAGCTAGGAGTGCTTGGGCTAGCTTGCAAGAATGTGAGGAGTGGAATGGCAATGTTGGATGGAAGGAAGGAGGGATTCCTTTATGAGCACAGGAATTCCTGGACTGGAAGAATAATTCCTGGATAATGCTGAGTTTCTGGACCAAGTCTTCTCAAGGGCAATTCCTAGGGTAGGGTAAATGAAGCTTTGTCCCAGAGTGCTGACATTTAGAGTTTGATGTCAATACTTAACAGTTCTTCAGCACCTAGAAACAATTGAGCTTAGTGCCTAATTAGCAAGAACAATTAAAGTTAGAAGTTGTCTGGTGGCATCCATCCCTACCTCAGGTAATCTTTTCTTTCCCTATAATCTTTCCTGCTGCTGAACTGAATTGTTCTTTTAAAAAGTCAATTTGAGGGCATGTTTTGTACCCTGAGTGCACAAACTGCTAGTTAGAGCTCTATCTGGACCCAACCAGAGCCAGAGTTAAGGAGCTTTAAGGACCAAGGTCATGCAATGGAGGATCAAACCCACACCTTGTGCTTCACTGGTGTGGTAAGCTCTGTAGAATACACACAGGCTCCAACCAGGATGGTACTAAAATCCCAGAGGACTGTATAGGTTCTTGGTCTAACTGGAAGGATGAGTTATTCGAATCTCTAGCAGCCTTCAGTGTTTTCCCCAGGTGTGTTTTGAGAGCTGGGGAACTTAACCCTATGGTATAAATTTAAAGGACAGTATGAGTCCCAGGGGAAGATGGGGGCCTACCAGGAAGGAGAAAGAAGTGTGACAATTCATGGGCTCAGGTGTGAGTTTTTCTAGCTTTGTTTTTTTGGCGGGGAGGGGGGTGTTAAAAAATGTCTTATTTGATGTATTGTCAGTCTGAGTGCTTGCTTGGGACCCTTTTTTACCTTTTCTGTAGAGATCTAGGCATAAGTTAGAGTCTGATATCCTAGGAAAAAAATCTTTTATGGGGGCATGAGCCAAAAAGAAAGTCATTTGTGATATGTCTTCAAGACTTAGCCTGGTCCATGTAAACTCAAAGGTTTAGTTCTAAACTTACAGGTTATGTTAAAATGTGGTATCCAGAACTGAATATAGTCCTAGGATCAATACTTAGTCTTGAATACTATACTACCCTTAATGAAACTGAAGATTGTATTTGCCTTTTTGGCCCCAGACTGTTGACTCATATTGAACTTTCTGACCACTAAAATCCCTAGATCTTTTTCAGAAAATAGCTATGTAAGCCATACTTCCCCAATTTTGTACTTTTGACATTTATTTTTTGTACCCAAGTAGAAGACTTTACATTTAGTACTAAAAGTTTTCAACTTGTTCCAGTTTGCCCAGTACTTCAGCCCCTCAAGATCTTTTTAGATTCAAATACTATCATCCACTTTGTTAGCTATACATCTCAGTTTTAATTTATCTGTGAATTTAATAGGCAAGTAATCTATGCACTCATCTAAGTCACTGGATAAATCTCTTAGCTTCTCTGAGTTTCCATTTCCTCCCTTGTAAATGTAGACACTTATATGAACCCAAGGCTCCTGGAAGGCAGGTGTAACAGGAGGAGACTCGGTGGATTGTGCCAGTGACCATGATGGCATGTAACGGGTAGGGGCTAGTTATACAAGCAGTTGCAATAAAAAGTCAGAAGCGTTAGGGAAATCAATCTGAATCAGTCAAACTATCAATTCACTAATACTTCCTATCTCTTGGCATCCTAACTTAGCACCTGAATCCTTATTCCAGCATCAAACTTTCCTATTTGTCTCTTCACTACAAAGACATTCAAGAACCAGCTGGTGTGGGGTGTCTGATTAATGCTTTCTTCCCTCCCAATGTGAATCCTTCCATATCAGCTCCAAGTAATAATCACTTTTCACTTCTGGCACTTATCGTTATTGATGAGTTTCTCTTTCTCAATCCTTAAAATATTCAATTCCCTTGGACAAAGTCATAGAATCTCAGAAGGACTGTGAGTGAAAAAATAGGTACCTTGGCCAACACATTCCTGAAAAGATAGGGTTGAATGGAAAGACTAGTCATAGCTCCTGATAACTAAATTTCAGAGATTGTGGACATATCTTTATAGTTTAGTGATGTTTCTGGTCATTCCCAATCAGTAATCTTTGTTTCATAATAATTTTATGTTAGTGTAAAGAAGTTTGGTGCCTATATATATATATGTATATATAGTATATATGTACATACATACATATTCTTTTTTTTCCTGCTTCCTTTTCAGGTGGCCTTGGAGAACAGTTTCATGAAATCGGGCCGAATGCCACAGCCTCCAGTCATAGTACCAAGAAAGTTAAAAAGGGTAATGTGGTACCCCACCCAGACATTTGGGTATCTTTTATTTAATATCTTATCAATTGAAAAACCTATTCTGTTTTAGAACCACAGAATCCTAGAAATACAGAATTCTGTTGGCAGGAATGTGGTTAAGCCAGGCAGCCAGCAAGATATGAAGAATCTGTTAGGGATGGGTTGGTTGTTAATCTGGACCTCTCAAAGAAATGGACATTCTCAGCTTCATGTTGAACCATGTAGCACCTGGCCTAGAGAGATGGCGCTGAAGGCATAGGAGGTGGACAGTGACCACACATGGGCATTGCTGGGTTTTGATTTAAGGGGATGTTCATAAAAGCAGGCTAAAATTTCTTTTCTACCTCTTTGTCTTTGTTACAAGTGGCTGTCTGGGATGCATTCCCTTCTCACCTCTGCCTGAAAGAATCCCAGGTTTCCTTCAAAGCACAGCTCAGAGGCTACCTTCTGAAATCACTCCATGGTCCATGGACCCCAAGTTAATAGTCTCTCATCACTAGGAAAACAAATCCATGTTCCATTTGTCAGTGCCTAAAGTCAGTGCCTAAAATAATGTGAGCCCTTTCACCTTCCCTAATATTGGTGGTGAAAAGGATATTAATTGCCACTAGCATTTCACCAAAATAAATGGCGTTTAGAGAAGGCTTTCTCATTTCTGAAGGCATTTCCCTTCTCTTCTCTGTCTATATCTCTCCTGAATAATGTGATGAAGCCTGCTTGGCTTCTCTCCTGGAGGGACAAATTCAGCCTCAAGTGGCAATTCTCACATGAAATTCTTTCTATCAAAAAAAGAATAACAATGAAAAAGAAATACCAGTTCTCCAAACCTGAGGGACATCTGATTCAATTCAATTCAGTGCAATTCAACAACATTTATTATTAAATGACTACTTTGTGTAAGGCACTATTCTAGGAGCTGGGGATACAAGAACCACCACCACCATCACCACCATAACAACAAATAGCCCCTCCCCTCAAGGAGCTTCTACACTTCTTAGAAGAAGGAATAGGAGTAAATTCTTGATTCCTTATAAAGAGTTAGCAGCTCTCCCTCCCAGATCCTTATATAAACTTTCCAAGTTAATGTCTCAACAAAGTAACCAAATTTTAATAGTGGAGGCACCTTCTACTTTTCTTAGACTTATATTTGCTTTCCCTGAATCACCTTCTTCAATTTTCACCACCATCATCAAAATAATTAGTTTTTTCTGGTTTTATGTAAATGTATTCAACATTATGCCTTCTCACCTGGCAACCACCATCTATCTCCTGCATAGAGGCAAAATAAAAAATCACTATTGTTAACACTGTTGTTTTTATTATTAACCATTCAGTTTTTTTTAATACCATTTCCTGGAATGCAGGAAAAGCGGGACTATCTATAAATGACTTTTCTTTCCTGTTCCATGCTCACATGTTGTCCAATCTCTTATGATGTAATCTATGTATACATGATACTGGTACACTAAGGAATTGTGTTACCTGGTGCTGAAAGCTAGTTGTCCACCTCTGCACAGAGAGATGACAGCTGTTCAAACAGCTGCAAAGCCAAACCACTAATGGCAACCGGAAGAGCCTAAGGCTACTGCAGCCTCTCAAAACCCCTGAATTTAGTCTAGTTATAACTGATTACCCAAATCAAGATCAGCCCAGAACAACAGGACTTAAACCCTCAAGAGTGAGGGATGACAGTCCTCCCACTTGAAGATCTTTCTTTCTGTATACTAGCATACACCAAGGGACATGGGTTTGGTTGAAAAGGATAGGTAAAAAAAAAAGCCAGGGAAATATATCCCAATCTGTGATATATGAAGGAATGACTGAATAAGCATTTGTTAAGCGCTTTCTGTGTGCAAAGCACTGAAGATATAAACAGAAAAGTAAGATAGTATCTACTCTATAGGAACTCACATTCTAATGGAGGAAAACAACAAACACAGAGACAGTTTCATCCACCCTGGACACTTAGAGCTCTCAGGTGTCCAGTGTACTCACTGCAAGTCCAGAGAGAGGACGGAGAGATGAAAGAGAAGTGGGGTGGGCTAGGGCGGCATTGCCATCCCTCTGCTCTCTGGGCCAGTGGGCTAGAGGGAGTCTGTTTTATTTGAATTAAGGGGATGACAAGTTGTGTGTCACTCAGACATTTCCTCTTTAATCACAACCCTCCCTCAACAGGGACCCCCTTCTGCCACCCCCATAAGAAGAGACCTCACAAGTAGGAGAAAGGATCTGAGCCTCCCGGATTCATCTTGCCCCTGCTCAGCTGCGGGTTTATTTCCTTCTATTATTCAGCGCCTGTCAGCCCTGACCGTGGTGCTTTGCTGGTCCCAGCTTTCTGTGGGAGCCATAAGAAGCATCCTCGTCCTCTCGGAGACACCTGGCAGTTTGAGGCATCCCTCTTGTGTGGAGTTCAGGGCTCAGCATGCATTTTTGAGTTTATAATTGGATTAACGAAAAGGAGTGTGTAACCAGCCTCCCAAATGAAGCTGTGACTGTTTTGATAGCATCGGATTTCCATAATCATATTAATAAGAAGAATGTGTTCTGCAGTTTTAAAGGACGTTGTCCCTAAGAACTCCCAGTGCTTAGCCACATAACAGAAATGAGCGAGCCTGGTAGGAAGGGAGCAGAGCCCCAGATGCCCCTCAAATCCACTGGAAAAAGTTGACATTTGGGGGTTGCCCCAAATTTGAACCTTTGACTAACTTACGGCTGCTCACACCTTTGAAAAAGAGTCTTCCCTACCCCATTCCCCTGAAGCCCACCTTTCATAGCGGAGCTATTCCGTGCATGCTATGGAGATGGGAATTTGGCCAAAGCATTTTGTAATGATTTATCCAGATGGCTGGACCGCCGATGTATTTATTTCCAGCCAGTAAGGAAAAGACTTTCTCTTGATCCAAGACTCAGGGCCTCACCTGGGAAAGTCTGAGACCAGGCCATAGTACCATTTAGGGCCCTGCTGGGACTGAGACCGAGAATGAAATGTTGACTTATGATGGCAGCTGTCGTGTGGCAGAGTTTAGGGGGGTCTAGTTCAGGGGGCAGATTCACTTGGATATATTTGGGCTTGGGGTATAGTTGGTAGACTAGATTGGTTTCTTTTTGGCATGAGTCCCTTTAGTGCTAATCCAAATGCAGAGCATTCCGAGATAATAAATAAAATCATACTGGATTCTGATTTTTGAGATAACAGTAATCTAGGAAAATCCCATAATGACATTTGCATTAGGATCTTTTCCCAGCCTAAGCAGAACATCTGTTTAGACATATTTTTAATCTGCAAATGCTTCCTGTGCTAAGTCCTCAGGAAATTAAATTTCTCACTGGATCGAGTGGTTAACTGTCGTTCGCTAACTCATTACTGCAAATTGTACCCCTTGTCTTTCCCCAGTTAGACTTTAGATTTTCCCGTGCTGACTAGATGGTATAAAAATTGCCCCTGTGACTTGCTGTTACATTTCTATTTAGTATTATCTTCTGAGAAACAGAGGAAGCATTGTAGGTATTATTTGGCATGTAGAAGGATTTTTCCACCCCTGATTTTCTACTGAAGAAAGAGATGCAGAAGTAGGTAGAAAATTGTTGCACATAATAGGAAAAATTAACCCACATTCAGGTCTTCCCTACTTCAACCCCAGACCTGCCACCAATCCCAGCATCATGGCCTAAATTTACTAAACCAGGAATGATTTTTGAATAGCCCAGTTCTAAACGTAAAAGACTTCGTTTTTTCTAATGCCATCAAAAAGTCTTTTTCTTTAGGGGCAGCTAGGTGGCACAGTGGATAGAACTCTGGTCTTGGAGTCAGGAGGATCTGAGTTCAAATCTGACCTCAGACACTTGACACTTACTAGCTGTGTGACCCTGGGCAAGTCACTTAACCCCAATTGCCTCACCAAAAAGAAAAAAAAGCATCAAAAAAAGTCTTCTTCTCAGAACTGATTAGAATTATCTTAATGTTCAAATTTAGATGAGTGTTAGGAGACACTTCCTTTTTATCAGAGGCTAAATATTTCAGGAAGTGGAATCACGTTTGGTGTTTTGGGCGGGAGAGGATCAGCCATGGGAGGTACTCACATTATTTTCTTAGAAGTGTTGATTTTAGCTTGTTAATGAGAAGGCTCAAGAGCTGAGGTGACTATCTACAATGAACATTCATTAGGTGAGTCACAAAGGTGATTTCTGGTCTCTCGTAGAGATAGAGATACCTACTCATTCTAAGCATCTTCATGGGTGGCAGTGGTAACATTGGGGCTGTCTTTAAATGCCTACAACTGAAATGATGAGACTGTCTTGCAGGTGGCAGGCAGAATTCCACGCTTCCGCAGAGACTGAAGAAAAAGGGCCCAAACGCGGCTCCCAGCGGACCTGTGGAGTCTGCGCCCCGAGTCCGAAGGGCCACAACATCAAGGGCTGAGAGGATCTGGCCCGGAGGGGTGATCCCCTTTGTCATTGGAGGAAATTTCACAGGTCAGTTGTTGTAAGAAGAGGTGTGAACGTGGGGCTAGTGCTGGGAATCGTAGCTTAGACTGACCCAGATAATAAGAAGCTGAGTTTACTCTTAGTAGGCTGAAGGATCTTCTGACATCCTTGGTGTAGGGCAGGGTACCATAACTTCTAAGGGATCGGTGGACAGATGTCAGGGGATCTGTAAACTTGGATGGGGAAGAAAAAATTACAGCCTTATTTTCACTCACCTCTCACTGAAATTTAGCCTTTCCAGTGGACAGAATATTGAACTTGGTATTAGGAAGACTTGAGTTTGAGTCCTGCCTCTAACACTTATTGGCTGTGTGTCCCACACCAAGTCCCTTAACCTCCCTCTGCCTCACTTTCCTCATCTGAAAAACAGGGGTAATAATTGCACCTGTCTCACAGGGTAGTTGTGAAGATCAAATAAGATAACATGTAGAGCTCTTTGTTGGAACCTGTGATCTCTGACTCCAAATCCAGCATTTCTTTCACTGAAACCATGTCAAAAGTCAATTCCATTTCAGGATGACCATTTCTGGGCGAATGCTGTCCCTTTGGAAAGGGCCACAGGGATTTTGTTGAAGTGAGAGTCCAGCCCTGGACTTTCAGGATACCTTTACATGTGAGGGAAGGGAGCAAGAGTTTATTAAGCACTGTGCTGAGTGCCTTACAAATATAATCTCATTTGATCCCACAGCTACCCTGGGACATAGGTGCTATTATGATTCTCATTTTACAATTGAGGAAATTGAGGCAAATGGGGGTTAATTGACTTGCTCAGGGTCACACAGCTAGTAAGTGTCTGAGGCAGGATTTGAATTCAGGTCTTCCTGCATCCAGATCCAGCTCTTCATCCACTGTGCCCCTCAGCACATTATTCTTTTCAGATTCCTCTCTGAGGTCACGCAGCTAGTTAAGAACCTGAGGCAGGATTCAAACTCAGGACCTCCTGCCTCTTAGTTCATCAAAGGTTCTTACCAGTTTATAGGCCACATAGATTTAGACTTCATATAAAGAAACATTTTCTAACAGTCCAAAGGTGGGATCAGCTGCTTAGATAATAGGCTTTCCCATTCTGGAAATCTTCACACAAAGGGTGGACGATGACAGTGGGGGGTACGTGAGAAAGGGTTCTTGATCAGGGACAAGTCGGACTGGAACGACCTCCGAGACTTCTTCCCGCTCTTAAGATTCAGTGATTCTGAACATCGTCTTTGGTGTCTCCCAGTTCAGCATCTGAAGGGTTTTTCTATCTCAAAATATGCCTTGTCTCCACAGTTTTGACATTCAATTCAATTCAATAAACACTTCTTAAACACCTACTACGTGCCCAGCATTGTGCTGAGTACTGGGGATACAAAAGGAGGCAAAAGACGTTTGTTCCCTTCTAGGAGCACTGAAAAGGAAACCCACTGGATTATGGTTCTAGAACTGGAAGGGGGTCTTGCAGGCCGTGTGATCCAAGTCTCCTTCATTTTACAAATGAGGCAACTGAGATCCATGGAAGTAAAGAGATTGGTCCAAAGTCAGGATTTGAACTTGGGGCTTCTGACTCCCAATCCAGTGACCTTTCCGCGGTATACCCCCCTTCTCTCAGATTCCTCACTTTCAAAATGAAGGAGGTAGACTAGAGGCTCTTAAGGACCCCTTGCAGTTCGTTGTTCTATCGTTCTTCACACACTGTTTCCCCCTCTATCAAATGAGATCGGTGAACCTGCTCAGTCTTCTAGCCTGCCCTATTAATAAAACGGTACACCATTGGGGCATCTTTGGAAATTAGATTACCCATTGTCATCCTCATCCCCATCCTCATCATCACTACTCACATGTATATAGAACTTCAAGGTTTACAGAATGGTTCTGTCACAGTGACCCATTTCAATATTGCAAGTATTATTATTACCATTTTATAGAAGAGGAAACTGAGGCTTAGAGAGCATAAAGGAATCCTCTGTGGCCTCACAGCTAATAAATGGCAAAGCCCAGGCTTAAACTCTGGTCTCTTGATTTCAGAGCTATCATACTCTCCACTAAATTACTTTTCCCACTAAACCATGTTATCACCACTCTCATTGAAACTTGGAGCTGGAATGGACCTTTGGGGGTTATTTGGAAACCTCCTGAGAGTGATCTAAAAAGAGCTTTGTTGAAAGGCGCCGGTTTTGTGTTTTAACTGTGTCTTTTCAGCATCTGGAGTGCTTTCCTGTCCCAGGAAGTGGCATGTCATCATGGCCACTAACCTATTCACACATATGGTGTTTGGGAGCATTTTGTGTTTTAGGGACTTTTAGTGTCCCTCATCTAGGTTAAAGCCCCTCCCCAAATGGAAAGAAAACAAATAAATGAGATAGAACTAAGGTTTGTTCTATAAATTTATTTTTGTACCAATGAACTGATGTCCCAATTTTCAATTTTTGAATAATAGTACTAAGAAAAACTAGTTCTTACATTTGGTTTGCAAAATGGTTTGGTGTTTTAACTGTCTTTGGTTTATATATAGCTTATCATTTGATGTGATAGTATCATGATACATGATGCAATGATATAATACATATATAGTGGCATGTTATTAAATTTATATATGTACATAATATATCATGTTATAACATGCGATATATTATATGATTTGATATAATGTGGATTAGTTACTACATGTATCAATACTCCCAGTTTTTCAAATGAGGAAAGTAGACTCAGAAATATGAAGGCACTTGCTTTTAATCACTAGCTAGCAAGTATCAGAGACAGGATGTGCATCCACATCTTCCTGCCCAAGCCCCTCGCTTTATCCAGCCCTCCGTGCTGTCTTTCTGAATGGCCAGCTCCTGTCACCCTCTGCTTTCCTTCCTTTGCACCTCCAAATAGCTCCTGCTCATTCTCTAGAGCCTTCAGGTTGATGTCAGTTAACAGACTAGGCTTTCTTAAGTGCTGCATTGCCTGTCTAACAGAGTAGCAATCGCTACCCTTTGTGAGAGCCTGAGAAGCCAGATTTTGAGGGGATGTGAACATAGTCTTTTCTTGGGACATTTCATGACTTCTCAGTTCTGGAGTCCTTAGAAAAGCAAAGGAACCAGAAATAAGTGTTACTGATTTCATGCAAGTGGTGTATCCAGAGCTCCAAGGACTCTTAGGACTTTCCTTAAGGTATCCCCCTCAAAAAAATTCTCATTATGATTTTGTATGAAGTGGGGGAGGAGAACCAAGGTAACCCTTTAGTGTTCTAACACAGATTTGTGCCTAAGGGCACCAGTAAAGTGTGGATACATCTGTCCCACTCCTATGGTACCATTATTGGGCAGGTGACATACTTCCTCCTCCCAGAGTAAACTACCACTAAGAGAGAGTGAGCCCCAGCACATGACCCCAAGGGTTCAGTTCTCTGCCCTCTCCTGGGGCCCTTTCCCCAACTATTGCACTGGTATGACACTCTGGGCCGTTGGTTCACCAGCACATAGTCCTGGAGACCTGTAAGACATAGGCTGCCCAGGATCAGGGCCCAGGAAGTTCATACTGACTTTGGGGGGGGGGGGTTCTCAGGCTCTGTTTCTATGCCCTCCCCTCAAATGAATTTGTCTCAGATGCCAAAATCTTCAGGTACAGTTCTGCATGTTGGAATAAAATTTGAAATGATCTGTGAGAAGTAGCATTTTCATTATCAATGGAAGTTGAGAGAGCATAAACCTCTTTGAAAACCCTCTTTCCCTCAACATTTTCATTAAAATTAACTTCAGGCAAATTACTTAACCTCTTTGGGTTAAATAAACTCTCTTCCAGCTTTGAAAGTCTGTCTGTTGGGTAAGTGTATGGCTATGTTTAATCCATAAAACCCTTACAGGTTTGTAAATTCAGGAAAGTCAATCAGTCACTAAACATTTATTAAGTGCCTACCGTGTGCTAGGCATGAGCGCTTAGTGCTGGGGATATGAAAAAAGGCAAAAGACAGTCCCTGCCCTCAAGGAGTTTACAACCTAATGGAATCGTGTTTAGTTTTGAGCAAAGAATGTTGTCTTTTATGGAGTAACAATACCATGTGGTGACTCCTTGGGAAATGGGCTCAAGAATCATTTTAGGCAAGGTTACATTTGTGTGCCTGTAGAATAAACTAGGATGACCGGGATTCAGACATGTGAACAAGGTAACAAATGAATGAGTGTTGGTGTTCTATTATTGTTTTAGGGAGCCAGCGGGCCATTTTTAAGCAAGCCATGAGACACTGGGAGAAACACACCTGTGTGACCTTTATAGAGAGAACAGATGAGGAAAGTTTCATTGTGTTCAGTTACAGAACATGTGGGTAAGTAAGAGAAACCTAGAAATCTAGCTTCATTTTTACTATAGATGAATTGAGTGAGAGCCAACCAAAAATTCTTAACGAATTGCAGTTTATGAAAGTTTACCATTCTCTTTGTCTACACACCCACTCACTTGTCAACGTCTCTCTCAAAATGCAGCACTTGGATTTAAACACAGAATTCTAGATGTTATTCTCATAATCTGAACATTCTAAGATTCTAAGATCCTAGATGAGGAGTAACCCAGTAGATTAGATCCTCCATTGAGGGATGATGTGAGCACTGGCTCACCTGGAGGGGGATATAATAAATGTATTAGGCATTCAATCTTTCCTGTCCATGATAGAAGTCAGAGAAGAGAACTCTATCTCTACCTGCTACCTGGGCATTTTGGGTACATGTGCATTTGGAGAATGGTGAGGAAGGAGCGTTTGGGTGCGATAGTTCTCAAGTAAACAATGAAGAAAGACAATAGGTTTGAGACTGTGGGCAGCTTGGAGCCCTGGAGTGCTCATTTCCAGCTTATATGTGTAGTCTTGTCCTGTGTACTTAAATAAATGGTTCACTGCCCTAACATCTATCCCTCTTCCCCCTACCCCCCACAAAAACCGAACCCAACAACAATCCAGCATCCTTTTAAGCAGGTGTTTTAACTGCCAAACACCATTTCTAGCTCTTGGGCTTAGAGTCCATTCAACTCCAAAAATGCCACATGTACCACTAGAATATTCTCAAGTTGAAAGAGCAGCTTATGAATAAAGGGGAACATTATATGTGCATAGGTATTACACATGTAAACATACACACATATAATGTATATACACATTATGTATTATGTTTATATCTAAAATATTGTATATAATGTATATATAAAATACTATATATTATATATACACATATACACAAATATAAATAAATTCCCTTTAGCCAGAAAGTGATATTTCCTTATTGTTTTTGTCAAACAGATGAATTCTGATGTGTCTGGTGTTGTTTTTGGTCATTAAAGCCGAATGAAGGGGCTGTGCCCCATTAGGAAAAAGAGTGGGGTGAGGGATGGTGATGATTCCTTATTCCAGAAGGGAATCAGTGGTCCTCCCTTTCACCTATTCCTTCTCTGTTCTGAATATCTCTAAGTGCCCTTCTTTTGTCTTGCACCCTTCTCTCTCTCTCCCTGACGTGGATTTTTTTCCCCCGATTGTTTCAGATGTTGTTCCTATGTTGGGCGCCGAGGTGGAGGCCCTCAGGCCATATCAATTGGGAAGAACTGTGATAAGTTTGGTATTGTGGCTCATGAGCTTGGCCACGTGGTTGGGTTCTGGCACGAACACACTCGGCCTGACCGAGACCAGCATGTAACTATCATCAGAGAAAATATCCAGCAAGGTAAGGAAACTTTGCTTTCAAGCACCATCTGATGGGTAGGAAGTGCCAATGTTAATCAAGAGAATGAAGTGGGTGGCTTAACAAAGCCAAGGAGGAACTCACCCTCATTTTGGAAATCATTCATCATAGTGGTGGTGAGACATGCGGCATCCTCATTGGCCTTGAGGCCGCTCTCAGTAGCCCTTTCCAGGAGAAGTTATGTCCTAATTTTGTAGGTTATAACCAAAGAGAAGATGACTTTCTCTGTTTTAGGGACAATGGGTTTGCCTAAAGAAACATCCTCCCCCAGATTCCCATCTGTCAAGATGATGGATTCGTGTTTTGTTACTAGTTACATTTCAAAGTCTGGACCTCATCCAATAGATCTGTTTTTTCCTCCTGCATAATAACTGTATCTTTAAAAATCCTGCATGTAGCTAAATCACTCTTTTTCCTGGGTCCAGGCCTGTGATCTCGTCACGTAGAGATCTCTAGGTGAGGAAATTCATTCAAACTATGCAGATCAGCAACTGATCTGCAAGCTATGATTTTAATTTGCCCACAGGGCACTGAGAGATAAAATTACTTGTCCAGAGTCACACACCCAATATGTGTTATAGGCTGTATTTGAATCGAAGTTATCCTGATTCCAAGGCTGGCCTGGTATTCACTACTCTGGGCTGCCTCTTAGCTAAAACACCTGTATAGGCAATTATAGTATCCATAAAGTAGGAATAGGTTAAATATTTCCAACAGGGCTTTATCTGAGTGGCCAAGACAGAGAAACTAGTACATCTAAATCATGGAGAAGTACATCAATTTAGCTTACATTTTTTCTTATGGGAAATGTTTCTCTGAATATATGATAGTCAAAGGAATATAAATAATATATATTGAATGACAGTATGTATGATGACGATACATTGCATATATGTCCAATATAGTACATAATGATAGAATTTCTATGAAAAAAGCTTCTGTTCAATGTATTTGCAACTCTCCAGGAGCTCGATTTATCTTTTCATGGATTTTTCTCTTGCTCTGCCATTTGTGTGATAGATGCCTTTTTCTTTATATGCTATTTAGGCCAAGCTGATTAAACCCAATCAGTCTCATCACTTTTCAGCTGAAGAATTTGGAATGATCTTGAGTTTAGAGAGGAGCAAGATGGAAGAATCTGTGCTTTGCTTTCCTGTTTAAAATCTCAGACTTATTTGAACACACACACACACACACACACACACACACACACAACTCAGGTGTATGGTGTGGGCTTAATTTGAACCAGGAAGATGATTTTTCTGCCCAATTTTTTTTCTCCTCTTTTTATCTTCCAATTTTGCCCCTCCTTAATGACATCTTTGCTTTCCCACGGACCTTAATAGTGTGTATTGTGTCTCAGGTCAGGAGTACAACTTCCTAAAAATGGAAGCTGGGGAGGTGAATTCGCTGGGAGAGACGTACGACTTTGACAGTATCATGCACTATGCCCGGAACACGTTCTCAAGGTTGGAAGCGAAGGTTCTGACTGCTCAGTTCTTTATTGTGCCTCTGGCAGGCTGGGTTAGGATTCTTAGTGATTTCCCAAGGGGGGGTGGGTATCACAGAGTGTACAGGTGCCTCTGTCCTTGATGCTCAGCACCCTCTGGCTTACAGTGAAATATAATCTAATCAGGAATCTGCTAATAAGATTTAACCCCATTGTGAAAGCCACTGTTCCATTATCGCTTAATGTCACAACTAGCAAACCGGAAAATGGAAATGATCAAAAGCTTCTGTTTAAAATTTCCAATGAGTGAGTGGGGGTTGGGGGATGGTAGTGAAGGTGGGGGAGAAAGCCTTTGGAGGAGTGTCCTTGATTTTAACCAGGGCAGCAGTTAACGGCCCTCCTGGGGAAATTAGGTTTGTTTCAAAGTTCAAAAGATTTCAGAGCCAGCTAGGAGGGACCTTCAAGGCTGCCGGATCAAAGATTTAAAGCTAGAAAGGACCTTAGAGATCATCTAGGCCAGCCTCCTCATTTTATGGATGAGGAGACAGCAGCCCAGAGAGAAGTAAAATGATTTACTCTATGTTACATGGCTAAGAAATGCCGGAGCCAGGAACTGAACCCACTTCTTCTGCCTCCAAATCCAGCAGCATTCTCTCCACTGTAGCAAGCTGTTCATCTAGGTCATTGTTCCCATTTTACAGATGATAAGACTGAGGCCCAGAGAAGTAACATGACTTGTCCAAGGTCACACAATAGCAGAACTAGGACTAGAACCCACATTTCCCTGACTTCTAGTCACTTTGATCTACAAGGCTTTCCTTGCTCTCAGGTGTATAAGAGCTTCTTAAGCCCTGGTCAAAGGCTTGAAAGGAACCAAAAGAAGGAAGCAGTCCTTCTCTTGGACCTTCTTTTCAATTCCTAGCTTTCCTTAGAATTTATGTAAGAGGAAAAATGTTTGAAAAATTGCATTACATCCCTCATCCCCCATTAGAATGTAAGGTCCTTGCCAGTAGGGACTGTTTCTTTGTAATTGCATCTTAGCATGCCTGGCACCTAGTAGGTTCTTAATAAATGCCTGTTAATTGATTGATCCTGTTGGGCAGGGGTACTGAGACTGGTCAGTGTGGTGGTGTCGGGGGTGGGGAATGGAATGTAACAGGGACACAAATGACTAGAATACAAAGTGGACTGTGAGAAATGCTTCAGATAGGTTTAGGTAAAGTGCTATTTAAAAAAAATTGAGGAGGAAGGGATCACTTTCAGTGGGGTTGGGGGGGGGCACTAGGGAAGGCTCCGTACTCTCACACTAATATTGTAAAAAATGGCGAATTTTGAAGACCTTTAAAAACTGGTGAATGAAATGAGCAGAAGCAGGGGAGCAATTCAGATAAGAACAATAGTGTAAAGCCCAATGACTTTGAAAGTTCTAAGAACTGTGACAGACGCAGTGACTCTCCATGATCCCAGAGGACAGGCAATGAAACATATCATCTCCTTTCTGACCAGGAAGTGATAGATTTAGGGTGCAGACATACATACGTGCCATTGTTCTTCAGTTGTTTTAGTCATATCTGCCTCTTTGTGATCCATTTGGGGCTTTCTTGGCAGAGATATTGGAGTGGTTTGCTATTTCCTTCTCCAGATCATTTTACAGATGAGGAAACTGAGGCAAACAAGGTTAAGTGACTTGCCCAGGGTCACGCAGTTACTGTGTTGTCAGAGGTCAGATCTGAACTCAGGAAGATGAATCTTCCTAACTCCAGGCCCAGCACTCTACGCATTATGCCACCTGGCTGTTCTCACATATGTATATGCGTATGTATATGTATATGTATATGCACATGTACATGTACATGTAGTTGTGGGTCTATGTATATGTAGATACAATGTATATACATATGTGTATGCACACGTGTTTGCATACAGCCAATGAGGAGTTTTGTCTTGCTTAATTGTGCATATTTGTTACAAGGAATTTTTCAAAAATCTTTTTTCCCCCAATGGATGGGAAGGAGAAGAGGAAATAAATTTCTGTTAATTAAAAAACAAATAAAACAGGTATATATGGATGAGATCACTGTATTCGTTTTGCTTACTTGTTTCACTTTATTCCAAAAGACCTTTCATGGAGTGGGAACAAATTCATGTTTGTTCTGTAAACGTTTGTGATGTAAAAACAAAGCATATCAACAAAACTTTTTTTTTTAAAGGAAGCATTCATAGAGATAATGTCCCTGGGGGTGAGCCATCTGGCCTCAGTTTTTTTCTTTTGCAAAATGCAAGTCACCTCAAGTGGTTTTAAAGTTCCTTCCAGCTCTCCAGTGCTGTGAGTCGACTTTCTGGGAAACAGACAGTGAGAGTTTCAGGTTCCACAGGGAGACTCAAGCTTGAGGGCTAGTACAAGGGTCTAGCACGCTTGATCTCAAGGCCAGTTTAGCAGGATCCTGGGCTTTGCTGCCCGTGGGCCGTAAGTGGGTCAGACAGGATGTGTTCAGTATCAGGGACTGAGATGACCCACGGATTTTGGAAGTGATACAGGAGGCAGGCTTCCTATTGGATCTGGCTTTATCACATCTGATCCCAATTTAGAGTTCCAACTCAACAAGCCGAGCCTTGGTGTCAGCATGGGGTGAATTCACCACAAATGTAGGACCACAGAGGTTAGGCCTGGAAGGGGAACTTTCGAGATTATCTAGTCTGACCCCTCCTCCTTTTACAGATGAGGAAACTGAGACACAGACCCATGAATTGACTGGCTCAAGGTCAAGAAGGGCACAAGTAGCAGAGTTGGAGTGTGGGCCCAGGTAGTCTGTCTCAGAATTCAGTACTCTTAATGGTCCACAGCTGCAGCTTGGGCATTATAGCCCATTGCTGAGCTGACCCCCTGAGAAATGCCTGTTACTGGAGGAATGATGGGAAGGAATGGAATTCAAGCATGCAGTAGATTTCACTAAGTATTGAAGCCCTGGGATACGGTGTGGGTGTATTCTGTGATGAGCAAATGTTGAATAGATCTTTGGAACTGAAGTACCTTCTGAGTGCCTCAAATCAAGGCTAAAGCAAAGCAGTGGGCTTCATCTCCGAGCTCAGACCCCCTCCCCCCCCTTCAGGCTTCTGCAGGCTTTCAGAAAATGGACCTAGCAGGTGAACAGAGCTGAAAGGGACCTCCGAGGCCATCTCTTCCAGCCCCCTCATTTTACTGATGAGGAAACAGAGACGTAGTGATTCACTTAAGCTCATAAGGCTAGTAAGGTGCCAGAGGTGGACCTTGTGTACATTAAGAGAGATAGATATGTATAGTGGAAAAGCACAAGATTTGCAATTAGAAGGCCAGGGTTCATGTTTCAGCTTCTCATTAACTTCATGAGGTTGAGAGTCAGCGTGCTAGAGTAGAAAGAAAAATAGGTTTGGGGTCAAAAGACCCGAGTTTGAATGATGAATTTTTTTGGCCCCAACAGCTTATAAAGACCATTTGCTGAGGTACTGATACTTAGTATATGTATGACCTTAGGTAAAACACTCTTTGGGACTCAGTCTCCTCATCTATAAGATGAGGGGATTGCACTCTGTCTGAGACCCCTGACAGCTCTAAATCTAGGATCCTATAATCACTTAATCTCATTGAGTTTCAGTTTCCTCGTTCATAAGATGGGCATTTTTTTTTAACATATGCCTCATCTGTAAAATGGGGGTAATAATTCTTTCACTACATGCTTCATAGAATTGCACAGAGTTGATGAGATTCTATACAAATGTTGGCCAAAGTCTTATTCATGGGCCTCAAACTTACATATGTTTTTTTATAAACTCCTTGCCAGTAGAATTGTTTCATTCTTTGTATCTCTAATGCCTAGAGTAGTGTCTGGCACATAGCTGGGGCTTCATAAATGCTTGTCCATTGACTGACTGATTATATAAAGGAAGTGACCCTGGGCTCCCATAAAGGCTGTCCCAGCCAATGGCATAGTGTAAGCTTAGTCAGGTCCTGCCAAACTAAGAAGCCTTCCAGCAGAGGCCTAAGAATGGACAGTGAGTCCGCCATCTGAAGACCAGCCTCACTCCACTCAGAGAGACTCCTCACTAGAACACTGACACCAGGTGATGAATTTTTTTTGGCCCCAGCAGCTTATAAAGGCCATCTGTTAAAGCATTGAGCTGTGGTGCTCTGCATCAGTGGAGGGAGTACCCTCTGTGATGAAACCGTGTAGCCTTGGCATATTGAATAGATATTTCAGTACGATTTTTAGCACCTTCAGCGGCTTTGCTAGATGGGTTTTAAATGACCTTGTTTAGTGGTACTCCTACTACACTTCATAATCAGGGTGTTTGTACCAGTCAAGGCTCTTCTTTTATATTCAGCAAAAATTTCTCTGATTTTATTCCATGTTATTAGTCATAGCAATATACCTCATTTGATGACAGCCTGAGAATACAGCTTCCTGTAACCCCTTAAGAACAGAATTTCTTCCAGTTGGGAAGGAGACATGTTATTCATGGGGGGAGGGCCGAAAAAAATATCCTCCCCTTCTCTTTCTTGAGTATTGACCAATCACCTTAACCTTTTCACCTCTAGTTCCTTGGACATTTTCTGCCCCTTTTCTGTCTTAACTGACTTTGTGGGGTTGGTATCTCTGGGGGCTTAACTGGGTAGAATTTGAGGAGGTGAGGAGACAGTTCTCTGCCACAGAAGCTACTTTGTTTTAGAGAACTCCAATCCAACACCTTTATTCCTAGAGGTATCTGCCCAACTTTTTCTGAGTTTAACAGAATGTAAATGGATTGTCAGACACATAAAGAGAGGTGAATTATTATATTTATTTACTCTGGGGATACCTTGAATTAGATACTTTCCAGGACCCAGAGCCATTTGGATTGCTCAGAAAGTGATGGGGGGATTTCCTCTCTTATCAGCCGTGTGTAGACTGATGTGATCTATGCCATTCTTACATGTGGAAATCTCAAATTGTCAGTCAGTCAATGAACATGTGTTAAGCATCTGTTCTGGGCCAGCCTCTGTGC